CAAACACCCACACCCTGTGCTATCTTAGATAAAAGCAAGTTTTAGTTAATGTACTTGTTCTTAAGTAGTGGTATTCCGTGGAATGCGTGACGAATGGAGTGTGTGTAGATGTAATTGTGAATGTATATCACTTCCACGATGTTCCACATCCTACACCCACATATCCATACCCTCAAGTAGAAGAAGAAATCGCTATGTACGTCCCATTATTTGAAGGATATGATAAAGAATTTCTGTGCATTAATTCAGTATTTAATGACGTCAATGACTTGAACAAAGTATCGATGCGTATTGGCTTTCGATATGAATAAAGAGAAAACAACATCCACAGTCACATTCATACTCACTTGTACCAATGATCAAATTTATATAAGACAGACTCAGATTTATTTTAGTCTAGATTTCTCTAAGATTAATACTACTGTCTGATTGTGTACCATAATTTGCTTTTATGCTTTTTGTTTTCTTGATTTAATAAAATTAAAATAGACAGTCTATTAAATGAAAATATCTGACAAAATCTCTAATGATATTGGAATAAATCATGATAATCAGACTTATATTCTTACGTTCAGCTACGGTACAAGTTTCATTTCATTTGTAAATGATAAGACAAAATATTAATTTAGAACCAATGCAATTTTGTACTTCCTATATTTATGCTTTTTTTGTCATTTTTTTTGCACATATGGCAATATTTTGATTTCTTTTCTACTGTCATCACTTTATATTAATAAATCAAAGGTATGTTTTTCATGCTTGAGTCAATAAAATATTATAGCATACTTTTTAATATCAGAACCTATGGGTCACGTAGAAAACGAGCGATACCTCACGTATATTGCACTTTCACATAAATAAACCAGTAGCACAGAAAAGAAAGAAAAAAAAATAAAAAAAACGGAAGAAAATAAAATAAAAAAAACGGAAGAAAATAATGCATTGATTGTTGAGCAACACTTTTTTTCTTGTAATAATATAGTCAAGTTTTGCAATCAAGCAAGTTCTTCATGATGCATTTCAATAGTCTTAATTATATGTAAGTTCGATAAACCTTTCCATAAAAGTGTTGTGTTATCAGACTCATGCTCCGTAACTTACGACAAGATACTGTCGTCGACATATTCTCAAACGTTATTATTTTGTAGAGTCGATTTCGAAGGATCTATGGTTAAATTATCTCGCAGGTTCGAGGTTTTTCGATAGACTTATAAAAATCGATTTTTTTTGATTGTTTTGATGTTAGCGAAGAAAAGATTTCTTACCGAATCTCCTATTGTTATAAAGCCTTCGAAAAAAAAAATTAATTCATGACAAATTGTTCCTTGGATTCTCTTCTACCGGATGACAAACTTCTATTTTAGAAAAAAATAATTATTTTATTAATGGTGGAGAATAGTATGAATGTGAATATAAATAATCATTTATACCTGCATTAATTGACACATAAATCTGTCTTTATCTGTGAGATTTGTCTTCTTTGCAAATACTCTAGACTGTCATTCTTGATCGTGAGTACCGCTGCTTCAAGCGAACAATTTCACACAATCGTCATTCGTGGTGATCTTCCAAAGATTGAGAAACAGTATTCGATTGGTAAACCAGAGAATCTTACAATAGAGAAATACTGGATCAGAGAAGTCATCAATTATATTCAAAAAGACGACTGGAATATCAAAATTGAATCTAGTCGATTCAAAGTGCAACATTTAATTTCAAATGGACCGTGTAAGTCTTCTGATGATTGTCAAATTATAGCAAAGTAGTTCGTCGAATTAAGTGGCGATATTGAGTAATTTTTTAGATTTTGAACCTAAAACTACTGTAACAAGTTTTGTTATTGTTCTTAAAATCAAATTATTGATTTTTGTAAAATCTCTAATGTGAAAGCGTTCTATGTAGCTTTAAAGTTTTTCCATCTGTATAGATGAAGTTCACTGCAAAAGTTCTCGAAGAAATCAGTGAGATCGAATTCAATCGGATTCGAAATACTTCAAGAATAGTAACTCATAGTCTGAACTAATCTATATTGTCGTATATAATTTTAGATACAATGCCTGCTGGCAATCATGCACTGTTCTTGGCATATCTTAATGCCTATAATTCACATGAAGACATCGTTCTCTCTCCTGAGTAAGTTATTTGTATTTGCATAGAAATATATAATTTGTAATTTGAGGAATTAGTATGTACCATAGCTTAATATGACATCTTTTTGTTTTCAATCTTTTTTAGTGATCTATGGCTTATGATAACAATTTATTATGCAAAATACGTAAATGACAATGCCGAGAAGTTGCGACATATATTCGTCAATCATGAAGGAAAGATCACATTGACCATACAACAGGGGCAACCCGAACCTGAGTAAGCAATTCATGAATGTCTCTTAGAGTAAACTATGATTTTTATAATTAAGAGAATGTCTTTTATTTATTTTTGTCTATGCATATGGGTATCGAGAGATACTATAAGAAGCTTGAATATTCTATATCGAATTTCACATAGATCGATAAAAAATTAACATTTTCATTATTCAGAAATCTTTGTCTCAAATTTTAAAACAGCTTTTTAATCTTATGAAATAAATCATAATCATTTCTGCTACTTATACAAATTTTTAATCAATCTGAAATTTCCTTGATTAAAACTCAGATCATATTAAACTGTTCAGAGTTTTCAACTTAGAGAAAATTCAGTTTCCAAAGAAAAGGAGGCGTGGTCGTGTTTAGCATCAATCTTTTCACAGCTATAAATCTGGTCTCTAATGATCTCGAAGTTACTTCAGTCCATAGTCAAAAAGAAAAGTTAAAGGTATTTTAAAAATATTACTGAAAAAGTCGGCCATTGTTAAAGAAAATAATTCTTAAATTGTTTACGAATTAGAACTTTTGTGATTTCTTTCATAGTTGGGAAGCATTTCTGGAAAGCATGCGCATCAAAATAGGTGAAAATGTCAAGAATGATATTGTCTCTCTATTGACGGCTGACTATTCGACTACAGGTCAAGTCGAATCACTCTTGTCTTGCGCTACGATCATGGATACGTTCAGACAATATTTCAACTATAGATTTGTCTTTATGTGTGGCATTCGTAAGGTACATTTTCTCGGCACATTGAATGATTGGTTACTTCTGCGAAACAAGACGCAACAACTGCAGAGTTTCACAACACCTAAGGACAAATTTTGGAACTATACTGAAGGTCTCTTTCCGGTGCTTGATCAGTTCATTAACACTTATCAAGGTGAAGTGGACGAAGAATTTTGGGATCAAATCTTTGACATCGAACATGTTGGGGCTGGATCAGGGTGAGTAATTGTCAACGGTCAAGCTGAACGATATCTCGTAACTCCTATATATACGGAGTCTATCATTTAAATGATTTCCTTTCCTCATTGTCAAGTATATAATTTAGGAGTATTCATCAGATATTTTTCTAGAATAATTGCTCACAATTGAGCAGGAGATACTCTTACTGAGATACTGTATTATTAAGTTTACGCAAGATCAAAGTGTCTTTTTTCATTTATAATAATCCCAGAATTTCAAGTGTTTATTTTGCAACAGTGAAGCAATTTTTCTTATAAAACTGACTTAGCTAAAACGATTTCACCACTTATTTAATTTTATGAAAATGGAAAATGGATTTTTCACTATTTTTTAAAGCGCTCACAATTTTCGAAATAGCGTTTTTATTTCAGTTTTACGTTAGACAAAAAAACAAAAATTCTCTATTAAGGCCTAAAGTATTATTCCTAGAAATTGCCACTAAATTCTGTAATTTTCAACATTTTCAACATGTTAATAGCCTCTAAATCTTTCGTCTAAAGCATGGAAATGACAATAAGTGACATTTGATAAAATGCGTCATTCATTATTCGATATCAATAGAAACTTCTTCAATGTTAAGATTGCAATATTTTGTGTCAGTTCATGCAAACCAACAAGAACCCTGCGAATGCTTTACCAAACTATTAATTCAAATTTTTTCAGAAATATTTGCATAAGAATAGATTAATATTTCCAATTTGTTTTATCACCAAGAACCGTTTATTGATCTTTTCTGAAAATTTGGAAATCTAAAGAAAATGAATCAGAAAAATCGAAAGCTCTTCAAAACTGTTTACTATTCCATGCTCTTTTATACTGAAATTACAGATTCAAAATCTAAAATGATCATATATTTGGCCTCATTTGACTTCTTCAGACAACGACTCTTATCAATATTAGTACTTTTCTTAGAAATTCATAGGCAAATACGAATTAGTTTTTATATGTTTTGATTTATTCTATAGAATCTGGACAGTTGCTTGCTAGAATACTTGCTCGCGAAGGAAATGACTCTTCATTGTCAATGAGAGAATTTAGAATCAAAGTGACTGAACTAATAAACTGTATGTAGGGAACATTGGGGACCATTTTCTTTATAAAGAATAGTCATATTTACTATTATTATAATTAAAGAATATTTTTATATATCTCATAAGAATATTTACTTCGAAGCATTTTTACGAGCAAGTGTTTAGTGAGCAACTGCCTGCACGCAACTTTCCTAAACCTATATTCTACAATGTTTATATTTAACAGAAGTTGGACGAAGCTTTCGGGTTGGTTTCTTCGATTGTGCTACGGGCTGCACATGCAGACATCGTGCGATATTCAAGAAGTTGTGTTAAATTCAATCATCGCACCCGTCGAGTTTGAGAACGTATTTACAAACGAGAAAAAGACATGTTATGTGGTAGGTGGATTCCATGGTATTGAGAGTCGTGATGGATGGCATAAGCCTGTGATGTCTCTAGCCATTATCGATGATCTTTCCACGATTACACAACTCAAACCATAGTCAATAAACGACTATTTTTCATAATTAATCAAGACACTGCTTTCAAACTATTTTATTTTATCAATAATTCAAATAAATACAACTCGTTACTGCATATCCTCTCGATTACATTCGGAGATTATAGTTATTCACCTCTTTCTCCGACTTACTCTTCAGCTTCGACCATTCTAGAATTTAGCTACATATGAATATTAGCAAAGTTTTTGATCGCGAACATGACATTTCAAATGTCACTTGATCATTATAACCAAGATGGAACTGAATTTCATAGTGAGAGGAGAATTCGACGATATTTGCCGTTGCCTTTTGGGTATTTTCCTTCTATGTTTCCCAGCTTTGGGTGTGGGTGTGGATGTGTGGTGGGTGGGTGTGGGTGTGGGTGTGGGTTTGTGGGTGTGGGTGTAGGTGTGGCGGGTGTGGGTGTGGGTGTGGGATGGGTGTGGGTGTGGATGTGGGCGGGTGTGGGTGTGGATGTGGGCGGGTGTGGGTGATTTAGAAGAGCAATACCACGACCGGTTTCGACCTTGTTCAAGGGTCTCCTCAGGTGGCTTAAGACATCTTAATCGATTGCGAAAATCAATTAAAATATCTTCTACATAATCCTATGAAAGCAAATTTTGAGGATATGTAGAAATTTTCAAACGTATAATTTAGAAGAGCAATACCACGACCAAGTTTTCGCTTACTTTGTAGATTGAAGTTGAGAAATTGGATTGGAACTTTTTTGTTTTGGGCAACTGGATGTTTCATTATGTAAGGTTTTTATTTTATTGTTGTGTTCGATAGTCGTTTAGGTTGAAGGTGTTTTTTTAGTTTATCTAGAATGAATGTACACCGGAATTATAAGTTTTGTCAAGTCTTACGAAGTTCAGTAATGTTTTTTATGGATTATATATTGATTGAATGAAGGCAGGAAAGAAAATTTTTATACAAGTTATAGATGGTTCGAAACATTTATTGAATAATGTAAGTAGTAGTTTGCATTTATAATGTTGTATTTGGAGCCGCAGGACGTTTTGATTCTATTTAAATAAAGTGAGGGTGTGGGTGTGGGTGTGGGTCAATAGAAGATGTACACCCACATCCCACACCCACCCAAAAAAATTTTTAAAGTAAATAATGAGATCGAAGAATTGTAGAAACACATGAAAAAAATGTTGCTCCGTCTCATCAAAAATCAAATATTTCTGATATCAAATTTGGGAAATGCGGAGCTACAAATTGTCATGGATTTCATGGAACGTCGGATATATATGGGAATTAACCGTGGATATGGAATAGAAGTCAGCTGAATAAGGGTGTGGGTATGGGCTGTGAGTGTGGGTGCGGGTATTAATCTTCTCTTTGTCAACACCCACGCCCACCCATACTCACACCGACACCCGCATTCACACCCACATCCTCGCTTGCTTTCATGACGTACCATTACTACGAGACTCTTTATGCAACCGAAGCGTTGTAATCACTTCCATTGTCGATTACATATCAATCAACGATATTAGTTGAATTTTCTTTTGGTATCAAAAAGTCATTCTAATATTCGTAGAATTGTAGTTATCTATAGTTCTAGTTTTGCACGATAGTAGTTATAGTACAAATTTCGAAAGATGTTTTGAAATGACTGCGGTAGTAGCAAATTCTTAGAAGTGACGAATATCTTTACTCTCGCTCAATATTCAAAAGCGATGAACAAATCTTTTTAGTATTTTTTACACGACTTTTTTGTGTAGTTATTGTGTTTTCAACATTCGACCCGATTCAGTTTTCGTAAAATTTTTTTCAGATTGTTCATTTTCGTGAACAATCATCTTCTAATAAATGCACTTAATGACCTTTTGGCTATATTCTACTGGTTATTTGTCGTTCTCTTGCTTATACCACTACACAGTGAGTCATTTTTTACTGACCAAATGAATAATCGCTCAAGTCAGTTTTTCGTTCTTTTGTATATTATATGAATCATGTCTGAGAAAAAGAAGGAAATTTCCAGTATTTTCTCCCCTACTCTTTTCTCTATATCGTTTTTCATATAAATACAACCGAATTTTTGGAGCATTTCACATGTCGTTTGAAGAAATCGATACTGAAGATAGTGCTAGCTCACTCAGTGAAGTGAGTTCACTGGATGATGAATTTGATACAATGCACCTTGATTCTGACAGTTCTGAAGAAGTTACTGATTATGATGATGACGATGATGATGATGATGTGGATTCACATACTTGGAGTGAAATAGAACTAGAATATGATGCAGAATTCTTGGAAGATCATGGACTTATTGAAGATGTAACTTCTATTTCAGAAGATAACACAATCAATCCTATCGACTGCTATCGGCATTTCATTACGGACGAGATTATTGATCTTATAGTTCGTGAAACCAATCGATACGCGCAGCAATACTTGCAAAACCATGACATCAGTAGAAGATCAATCTTTCAACAATGGAAACCAACCAATAATACAGAGATGCTCAAGTTCTTTGGAATAGTCATTGAAATGGGATTAGTACAAATGCCGAAGCTGAAGTATTATTGGAGCTCTAGCCAATTATATGGTTCATAGATCATTCGAAATACTATGTCAAGAGAGAGATTTGAATTACTCCTCAAATTTTGGCATTTTTCGAATAACAATAACAAGAATTCGAACCAAGATAGACTGTTCAAGTTGAAGCCACTCTTAGATTTACTAAAAGAGAGATTTTCATCAGTATATATGCCTGATTCAATTATCACTATTGACGAAATTATGATACCATGGCGAGACAGACTTTTATTTAAACAATACATACCTGGAAAAGCGCACAAGTACGGCGTAAAGATGTACAAATTAGCGGCGACCAAAGGATATGTTTGGAATTATGTAATTTATACTGGTGAGCAAGATTTGCCGGCAGGTATTGGACATGCTCAAACAATAGTAATGAAACTATTAGATGGTTTTGATGGATGTTATCGAACCGTAGTAGCTGACAATTTCTTTACCAGTATTTCTCTTGCGAAATATTTGTTGGAACATGATACGTATCTCATTGGAACATTACGAAGTAATCGTGTTGGATCAGGAAGTAAAGTTCTTGAAGAAAATCTTAGTCGTGGAGAAGTTTATGGACTTCAGAATAAAGATGGAATTAAATTAATCAGGTGGAAAGACAACAACGATGTCTTGATGGTATCTACAAGACCGTCACATTCAGCAAGTGTAGTAGACAGTGGAAAAACAAATTTTCAAAATGAGCGAATCATGAAGCCCCAAGTTGTATTAGATTACAATGAAGGCAGACAAGGTACTGATTATCTGATCGACTATCAACATATTACACATGTCTCAGAAAATCAATAAAATGGTACCGCAAGGTGGCATTTGAATTGGTTTTCCGGACGACACTGGTAAACAGCTATTTGATATATAAGGAAAACTACACAAAAAGCAAAGTGACCATTCTGCAGTTTCGTGAAAGTCTTATCCAGCCTTTCCTGTTTGGCACGCCAACCAAGAAGCTAAAACCTGGTCCAAGACAACAATCAGCAAGTCATTCGTAGCACAAACTCGCTGATCACAAGCTCGAAGAAAAAGAAGGATCTACGCGCAATGTCGGCAGACGGTGCACTGGTTGCTATGCGAAGGGACGAGCCCAACAGTCAAGAGAAGCCAGCCGTGCGGCAGCAAAGAAAGTAAAAACTTTCTGTTCTGACTGTAATAAATTTTTTTGTCTTGAGTGTTTTAATGATAAGCATGATGCTATGGAGTAAAGAACTCAAATAAAGTACTAAAGGTAGCACAGTTGACTCCTTATATTTAGCCTCCTACTTAAGAAAAAAGCAAAAGAAAATGCTTTTCTATACAGTTTCTCGTTAAACTATACCGTAGCCCACCGGTGGGCTACATCGGGTCGAATGTGTTAATTTTTTTGATTACCCTTTAAGTGATCAGCGCAATAAATGAAATGGTCAAAAATAATCAGAGTTCGAAACAGGGAGCATTTTTTGTTCCCCGCCTCGACTTAAATTTGTTTTGTTCATTACCTCGCCACATATTTATGGCATATCTGCATCTTTCCATTATATAGTTTGTTTGAATATATATTGCAAAAAATAGACACAAGAACATCAGAGTACAAAACGAATATAGCTCGAAATCAATCAATCTTTTACTTTGTTGTTCTCTATCGAATGAAAAAGTAAAATATAATTGACATTTGTCGAGTCTAAATTAGATCTTCTTTATTTAGTAAATTGACCTTCTACCGAAAATGCTCTTGTGAAAGCAGCTAAGTAGCATACTATTTAGGATACGCCACATGCTAGCTTCATAAACGTGAAGAAGTTGGTCACGTGCTTGCCAAATTGAATATAAAATTTGAATAGTTTTTGTCTTTATCTAGGGTGTGGGTGGAAAGAGACAACACCCGCACCCACACCCTTTCTCAAAGCAGTTTTCTTTTGAGTCCACATAGAGCATCATCGACTGTAAAAATGTTTGTTTACTTACTTTTCTGAAATGTAATAGTACTTTGTTATGATTTGATTTACTTGACTATTGATAGTAAAAGAAAATAAAAATAATATATTGGCTTTATACTTTCGCTATATTTTATTTTAACATATACAAATGATATATAACGGAGTTATAAGTCTATTTTTTCTCACTAAATATTTTTAGCAACTTGTAGTGATATCAGATACAACGGTAAACGCACTTCTACAATCTAAAAAAAAGGTTGATCAAACAAAGAGAATGATAATTGTGATATAAATTATTGACATCGTGATGAAAGTCACAAAAGAAATATAATAACGAATAAGTTGGTTTCAAAAAGAAAAAAAAAAGATATCAAAGTAGTTGTGAACATGGCTTTCTCTTTATTTATTGTTATTAGTTGGTTTGTATGTATACTTACATGTTATTATGTAATTCGTCCTATTTCGATTAAATTAGTTCGATTTATTTTAACAAGTTTTTTATATATATTATTAAGTTATATCACTTGTCAAAATCTTCCTCGATTTGATGTATCGGCAACATTAACAGTTGTAATGTTTTGGTTAATGTCAATTCGTTTAATTTCTTTGACATCATTTTCAACAAAAACATTGTTAACATTTCAAACATTTTTATTGAAAACTCTTTGGATGTGTTTTCCAATTTTACTTAGAAAAACAGCACAAAATCAATGGCCTATAATATTTAGTATAATATTAATCATAATTAAATTATTAATAAATCATTGGACTTATCGATGGTTTATGAAATGTGAAATGGGATTTAGTTATCAAAGAACTTTTTTATTTTGTTTAGCTTTAATAACAATATCGTATGTTCTTGAGATTGGAATGATTTTCGGTCGGATTTTAACTCTAGATAAATATACATTGGAATCATTTACCAATTTTCCAATATTTAGTTCACCATTACGAGAATTTTGGGGTCGAAGATACAATCGAATTATGCATACAATTTTCAAAGAATCAATTTTTGAACCAATTCGATTAGAATTTTCATCTTCAACTATTGGAGCATTGACAACATTTATTATAAACGGTCTTCTTCATGCTCATATATGCCTTGTTATTTTTGGTGGTAAATCATTATTTCCAACCTTTATATTTTTCCTTTTACATGGTATTGCTTATTCTATTGAAACAAAAATGAAAATTCAACTTCCTAAACTTGTTGGATGCATAATAACGCATTTATTTCTTCTTATTACATCACCACTCGTAGTTAAACCATTTATACAGAGCTGGGCAACTCAACTCAAAATGGTGGTCAATTCAATTCAATTCATTGAAAGAAAACTTCAACTTAATTCAATTCAATTCACAGATACTATAAATTTTTTCTCAACTCGACTCAATTCAATTCATGCGTCTTGGAAAAAGTATTCCAATTCAATTCAATTCAATTCATACATCTTGGAAAACTATTTCAATTCAATTCAACTCAATTCATGCAGATTGACAGTTTCCTTAAAACTCAATTCGTGTATCCTGAAAAACTTTTCCAATTCAATTCAACTCAATTCATGTATCTTGAAAATTGTTTCCAACTCAATTCCACTCAATTCAATGACTTAGAAAGTTTTTTCTGAATTCAATTCAATTCAATTCATCGATCACGAACGTTTTTTCAACTCAATTCAACTCAATTCTATTACTGAATTGAATTGAATTCAACTCAACTCGGTATTTCGTTTCCTTCACGTCTGACTATAACTAGAGTTATCCACTGTAGGACGATTTGGAGTATCTCTTCAACAATATTAGCAGACTACAAGAGAAGGTCATAGTTGAATCAAACAATAACGAATAAAAGAGGAATACAGTATAAGAGGTATGAGTTCTCAATCGATAAGATACCAGTTAACAAACAAAGGATTTGCATGATATTGCCCTATAAGACAAGGATAAATGGACATTGTATCTAACACTGGAAAGAATAGGAAAACAAATTGATACGTTGAGAGCTTAGATGATTAAATTATATGCAATCGTCAAAAAAGAAAAGAAAATAGCGATAGTTTGACGCAAGCACATCGGAAATATACATCGAAATGGGAGTATGATGCAGCTATGTTGAAATAGAAGTTCGGAAGAAAAATTACAAAAACAGATCATAGTCATACCTTGATCTTTCATTAGTTTTGATGCGTAAATTGATCATACAACAACAGTTTCAGAAATATCTTTGAGTTGAATTGAATTGAAATGAATTGGCAAATCTCGAGAAAAAAGCCTCAATTCAACTCAGTTCAATTCAGTGATCTCGGAATTTTTTTTCAACTCAACTCAATTCACTTTACTCATCTCCAAAAAAGATTTTCAATTCAACTCAATTCGATTCAATGCTCTCAAGATTTTTTTCAATTCAATTCAATTCAATTCAGTAGGCCCTGAAAATTTTTTCAATTCAACTCAATTCAATTCAGTGATCTCAGAATATTTTTTTTCAACTCAATTCAATTCAATTCCTTGATTAAAATTTTTTCCCGACTCAATTCAATTCAATTCATAGATGTTTGAAAGTTTTATCCAATTCAATTCAAAACAATTAGTATATCTTTGAAAAATGTTTCAACTCAATTCAATTCAACTAGTTAAGTCTGAAAAATTTTTGTCAACTCAATTCAACTAGGCTCATGAATTGAATTGAATTGAGTTGAGTTGGTCGTTTTTTGAATTGAGTTGCCCAGCTCTGCATTTATAGATGAAGGATCTCCATTTATAATGCTTAATCCTCCACTATTTATCAACGCTGGATGGATACCAAAATTACCTGTACCTAATTTTTGTCTATGATAGAATATTTTCAAATATGTTTGATACAAGACAAAACAACCTATTATTTTTAATACATCAATTCGGATATTTATTCAACAAAGAAGATTCATCTTTTTTTTAAATTAACTAATAAAAATTCTACTATTGATTTCTATTGACTTTGATTCATTTCATATAGAAGCATATGTCTCTCAACAATATTTCATATAACATAAAGAATTATTGGTGATACTGATACTAGTTTTTACTAACTGACATTTATAGAGAGACAAGTCCGAATTATAGTTCAAAATTCTAGATTATCCTAGTTTTTGATATTTTTCTAAAAGATAGTTGTTCTCAGTTTAATTTTTACGTAGATGATTAAAAATCAAAAAAAAATGAAATACTTTGACAAAGTACAAAAATAGAATAATTCAAGTATTTAAATACACTGTTCAAGTTTTAACGAAACAATAGACTTCATTATGCACACACTGATAAACGAATCATCATTCTGAAATAAACAGTTCATAGATCAATACTTGAGTTTTGATCATGATATTTATGCACATAACAAATTAAACAAAAATGATGTCTTCATTGTTTTTTTTTACCTATTCATAGGAATTTTATTTACCATTTCAAGTGCAAAGTATTAGAAGTAAAACTATCATATTAGGATCGGTATTAAAATAAATCTCAATGTTTTGGTACTATTTCGATTAGAATTCATTAACAGAACAAAATTTCTTGGATCAAAAGGATCATGTACAAAGAAAAAGAACAATTTTGTTCTAATTATTTTAGAAGCTTGTGAACTTAAAGTGGTCGAGATCTAGTTATCGGCAATCTATGTATTAGATTTTTGAAAAAAAGTGATAATTTAATATAGATATTATCAAAGCATATTACATTTTATTTTGATATTAATGTCTAAAATATTAACATTAGTATTAATAAATACGAGTGCTAATTCTAATAAGATATTTCTCGAGATTGTTCTTAATACACGAAAATTACTTCGTTCATTGACATGATTAATGCAAAAAATCTCTCAGAAAAAAAAAGATTTGTTCAAAACCCCTTGGTAACTTATCAGACGGTATTAAAATGTTCTCACTAGCATGTATCATTAAATCATTCAAACAACGTTTCTATTCTTTGTTGTATCGATTTTGTTCGTATTCAACAAAATCAATTTGATTGAGCACTGCCTATTATAGAGAAATCTTCTTGAAAAAGACCGAAACCTATTATCATTGTTAAACTAACAACGAGTATTAGATCTTTATCTCCAATGCAACGTTTTCAACGAGCCAACCGCTTTAGAAAAAACATGTGAAAGATTATTAAGAAATAATTAATCATTTTATTTGTTCGCTGTCGAAAATTTACAAATTATTTTTAAGTGGGCCGAATAACAAATTCGAGAGCATTTTTTTAAGTTCCTTTTACCAAATTAGTAAAAATGACTAAACACAAATGTTCGGGTTTAGGACATGCCTAGATGTAACACATAAACAAATTGTTGTCTTTATATTCTTATTATCAGCAACAAGAACAAGAAGGTCAATTGAGATAAAATAAGACCTTGTGAATTAAGATACAGAAAGGGTGTATGAGAATGTCTCACTTTCATCAAAAATATGATAGATGATAAAACTTTATTAAAACATATGTAGTAAAAGAATCGTGCTAATATTCGAATACTGGTGGTCACTAACTTGATAAAAATTTTCATTCTTGGACGTGAATATCACTTTCTAGCTATGAAAATAATCGTGTATCTCTCAATGTTTACATGCTTTCTCCTTTGTTTTCTAGATACTCTATTTTCAATTGCAATATTTTCCCAAACTCTCTAGTACAAAAACAATCATCATCATGGAATTGTGCAAGCTGTTGATGAATCTAGGAGTAATTTCTCTATCGATGAAGTGCTGCTTCTCTTCGTTACATAATCTCAAGGGTGTGGGTGTGCGTGTAGGTTACAAATGTAGTTCTTCTCTTCAATCACAGCCACATCCACTCACATTCACTCATCCACACTCCACACCCATACACTCACAAAAATATGTAACAAAATAGCGGATTATTCCAGGAAGTGAAAACAACCAGTTAATTTGTCCAAAACTGTAGTGCAGGTTTTTCATTCACAAGTACAAGATCCAGTAGTAGATGTTTATATGGAGGGTCAAAGACTAGAAGTAGTTAAAGAGTTCAAATATTTAGGCTTTACTTAGACAAATAAGATATCCTTAAAACCAACGCTTGATAGAGCCCTTGAAAACATTCAAAGAACATTTAGTAAACTAAGATGGATGAAAAGTGATAAGACTCTTTCAACACATGTACTGTGAAAATGTTTTTTTGCTTACAGTTTTCCATATTTTGCCTGGACATTTTCCCTATATCCATTCCTGCCTAAAACTCTAAAAGAATTACTTCTAAGAAAATTTAGAAACGGATTAAGACTGGTTCATCGCTGTCCTTTTGTAAGAGCAACAGACCTTCTTCAGATAACAAATGAAAAGTCATTGGAAGAATATGTTAAAAAATATATAAAGAAAAGATTAGAACGGATTGAAAAATCTGATTTAGAGCGCTCGCCCTTTTACAACGATATATTTTATTGGGATGCATTTCATAAAAATAAAAATGATCACCTGGACCATTCTTTTCGAATGAAACGAGTTAGACATATGTGTGACAGACATCAATCACTGCTTCTTCAATAATTCGAATTTTTGTACGAATAAAATCCGTGTATTATTGTGTGAGTACTACTTTTTTTCTCTTTCGTATTCTCTTCCCTTCCTATTCGTCCTAATTTCCCTTCTTTTTCCTTTTCTTTCTACTTGTTCCATTTTTTTTCTCTTCATTCCTTTCTTGTTTCTCTTTCTCCTTGCTTTTGTTTTTCTTCATATTTTACCTACCTCATGTGGTATCTTATAAATCTGTTGTGCTTTCTTATATGCTTATATCGTGTATGGTCAGGTTAATCAAACAATTGTAAATGCGTACGATATCTTTGTAAGCACTTCCGACTGTAACAATAAAGAGAGCGAAATCAAAAAAAAATTTCTATTTAATCGTCGACAATAAGAAATTAAATTATAAATATTATCATATAACATAATGATATCTTTTGAGAAACTTCGCGATTAAGCATACAAGCACTGCAATGTACCATTCAATTGATATTGATCATCAGAATTATAGATAGAATAACGAGTATCAACTATCGTCAATGATGCGGCAATGAATAAAAATGTAGTAGACTGTATTCTCAACGGAATGAGTAAAAATGATTGATATTTTTCACTTAAATTGTGAGAAAAAAAAAACTATAGAGCAGATGTAGATGTATTTCTAACATTTAAAAACTGGCAGGAAATCCCTGCATTTTTTTCCTGGTATTTACTTCATCAATAAAAACACATTTTAGCAAAAGAATGGCGTATGAAAAATTCAAATCTTCCGTTAGAATATTCTTAACATCTGTTAAACGAGCAGTTTATCCGACAAAGAAGTTGCATGAACTAAAAATTCTTCGCTTCTATGCTATTTTAGTTAGCGTAAAAGAAATTCACAACAAATCGTGGCCTATTTTTTAAAAAGAAAGGATTGGTCGATATATTTTTTTTTCTTAGTTTCTCATGACGACAAAAAGAACTTTTTTTCTCTGTGAATTCAATTACATCTTTACTTCACCATATTTAGAAAAGATGTAATAACAATTTCTTTTTCTATCTTTCTTTGTATGTGAACACCGTGTGCAGTGAAGTTATTATTTCTTTTTACGTTTGTTGCAACTAGCATATAAATACACAGAAAAGTATGGCGTTAGAAGATGAAAATCTCGAAAGTTTTTCTCTCGTTTGGCTTGATGAGAAGGGCAAAGATGAGTCCAACATTGAAGAACAACTTCGACAATGTATCAATCATCTGAAAATATTTGATGATGCGAATAATTGTGAACTCTATATTCGATCAGTACATGAAGGAGATGGAATCGTATGGGTAGTCAATAATCATCTAGGTCAAATGATGGTACCATGTCTGCATCAACTACAACAAATATCATCAATCTATATTTTTGATACAAATAATAAAATAGAAACAGAATGGACAAAGAAATATCCAAAGGTAAATATAATAACATTGAATAGAGAACTTTTTATTAGTTGTATATGATAGGTGAAAGGTGTAATCAATGAACTCAGCGTCCTTCTTAAACTAATTCAAATGGATCATACTCGACGAGGAGCTAAGAAAATCGAAGAACAACTTGTATTAAATGTATTCAATACGAGTTCTAGTGATGAACAATCGACGACTGGTCTCAATGGTCAATTCATTCATTCGCAATTACTGATTAATTGTTTACTTCGAATGAAAGCAGCGTCAACTGATAAAGATGAAATGATTTCATTATCGAAAAAACAATACAAAGATAATAAAAATGAATTATCTATTGTTCATGAATTTGAAGAAAATTATTCAGCTGATCGAGCCATTTGGTGGTATACACGTGAATCATTCTTATATCGACAATTAAACAAAGCTCTTCGTGTACAAAATATTGATTTGTTATTTATTTTTCGTTTTTTTATTCGTGATATTCAAGAACAACTCGAAAAACACCAATGTTCATCATCGATTCATGTTTTTCGAGGTCAATTAATGTTGAATGAAGAATTGAAATTATTGAAAGATTCAATTGGACAATTAATTTCAATGAATTCATTTCTTTCAACAAGTACCGATCGTCAACTGGCTCTATCTTTTCTTTATTCTTCAACTGTAGTTGATAATATGCAAAGAATATTATTTGGAATTGATGCTGATCCTCGACTTGAAGGTATCCGACCATTTGCTAACATTACCAACCTCAGTTATTTCCCAGGTGAAGAAGAAGTACTCTTTGTGTTAGGATCAATCTTTCGTCTAGTTCCCTCGACTGAAGGGAGGGTAGAGATCAGCGGGGTCAAACTTTTTAGCCCCGAAACCCGCCCCGAAACCCGAAAATATTT